TGGAAACCCATACTACTGAAGCTGAAGTATCCAAGAATGGAAAAACAAGCACCACATATACTACCAGCAAACTTGGTAGTTACTGAGCAGCACCTAAGTGCACACATAGGTGACTACAGTAATAGCGGGTATATGGGGAGCGGCGGAAGGGCGGGTATATACATACATAGTGAGTGAGATGTGGCACCATCTGGGCGGGGGATGTCATGCTGGAAACTCAGACCTTGTGGGGGGAGGGGGGGGAAAAGGCATTTATTGAAACTTAAAGATCTGTACCCCATAATATGCCAGAAAAAAACAAAACAACAAACACATTCGGGTAAGATACTCTGGGACTGTGAGTACATTTCGTTCCGATCTTACTAGATAGGTTTATCTGATGACACTGTGCTCACTTAGAATTACTCCTCAGCTTCTGAGCAGCTATCTGTATCCAGATACCAAAAACCTTCCCCCAAAGGTCACCTAAACACCTTGGCCAGACTCCTTTTAACAGCCCTCTTGTTGATCCCTAAGGTTTTGCCTATGTGGCTCACAGGAGGAGCAGTAAAAAACGCACCGGGGTCTTTTGGGCTGGTGGGTATTGACAATTGTCAGGTTGTCACTGGGCTATGATTACCGATGAACATTCTAAAGGCCCCTGAGTTTGGCTGCCCTGACGTCTGCCCATCTTGGATTTTTTAATATGAACTGCATGACATACCCAATGTGAAAAATCCACAGTCCCAGCTATTAAAATAACCCCCCGCCAGCAATGTTCATATTCCTGGCGCTGCTGCTTGAGTCCGTCTCCTGTGGGCCTCTGCTGCAATCTCATTCCTTAACCAGTCCCCTTTACGTTCAAGATATTCTAACTTCTTCTTTCTTCATTTCATGTTCTTATTCTATCTCTTCCTGTTTTTCTCCAATATAGCTCTCCAGACTACTCACCTTTCTAGTGCTCAACTGTAGCGCGTTGTTCCTAAGAGAATCTTTTTCCCGCGTCGTGATATCTACCGAATCCTACTGGTATAGGATACCTATTTCATGGCCGATTTTAAACCATTAAACGGAGTTTGTCTTTTTCACACTTATTACTGTGAATGCCTCAGTAGTCTTTTTATAGAATTGTTATTGCTTATAGTTACTTTATTTTCACATGCTTCCTGAGGGCTGGTGGTACTTTCTTTCTTTTCCGAAGTGCGGTTCTTTTCTCCTGTGAGATAGGCCTAAATGAACCTAGGATGTTACTGCTCCATTTAAACATTGTGCTTAATAGAATGAAAACTCGGTGTGATGAAAGGTATGTTGGGTTGCAGTTTAGTAATATGTATGTGAGGACCGAAACTGAACTCAGATGGAGTGAGTACTCTCCTTATTGTATTGGACTTTCTAGATGTGTCCTCTGAATTCGTACCTGCTAAGCTATTTCTTATCTGTAACGGGTGACTAAGGTATTACTATACTTTCGCAAAATGTTTGGTTCGCAGAGTAGAAGCGCTTGAATGATCCTGGCAGTGTGTTTTATAAAGTAGAAGGCAAATAAACCATTCGTTGCTGTTTTCTTTAATACAATATTCAGTTTAATGGAATAGTAACAGTATCTTCTGGATTTACGGTAGTAAGCCGGATTGCAGTAAGTTGTTATAAGGTGTTTATAAATCGATGGTGTGTAGTGCTTAATTATGCTCTGGCAGTGAGAGCTCAGATGCTTTTTATCATCGATAAATTAAAGCTCATGAAGAAACACGATGTATCTCGAATTTTGAAGAGACGTGGGAATGAGCAATCCACTTCTGATCGCCTCTTAACAGGACTTCATCTGCTATCAGGAGAAGTGTGACGCTCGGAAATGGCATAGACGTGCTCTTGGCCTGGGAGAGTCAATCTGTAAAAGTTACCGGAGTGCTATCCTAATCGACGCCCCCTACGGGATGAGAGTTCAAACCCTGGGCAAGGGGTTAGATGCCTGTTCAAGCTCCTGCTTACTCCCTGGGTAGGCGGACGGCTGGTCCCCCCTTTCACCTCTTGTCCTCCCTGCTCCGTGCCCTCCCAGCGATCCTGGAGTGGAGAGGAAGCTAGGCATGTCACACAGGTATGCATTAAGCATATATTGCGGTGGGTATCTTCAGGGATTACCTGTGGTGGTAATATCTTGTTTACGTGTATGTACGTGTCGTTTGGCTGTCTGTCCATTATCAGTTAACCAGGTAGCCCTGGAGGTGCCAGTAAACAACAGAAATTGTCTCACGGGTTCTGGAGGCTGTAAGTCCTAGACTCAAGAGTGCCAGGGCAGAGGTTTGCGGTCGTGTTCTGGTGGATGTGGTGCCGATCGTTTGGTTTTTGAATCATTTCTTACGACCAGCTTGACGGCGGCATGTCGTCACCCGTATGTGACAGACGGGGGCTAAGGAGCTCGGTCTGTGCGGGTATTTCTTTGAGAAGAAATGTAGTGATTAATTTATTATCAGATATATAAGGGCATTGCAATGCCGCCATTCACTGATGTTGAGTCTAACACATATCATCAATCCCAAGTCCTAGCTTCTATTCAATCGGACGCACCTTGTATTTCCTTATGAGAAGATACTGTCACCTTGGTATCTCAAGAGGTTAGGTATATTAATTAACGATCCTATTCCATGTGTACAGTTTTTTACGAGAGTAATACTAAACTGATTATAGTTCTTTGTAGCCCAGCCTGTGTTTATTTGATATAAAAAAATATGATGGAAAAGCCTTTCCCTTTGTCCTCAGGCCGTTACCACTGTGCTGTTTGGCTGTTAAAATGGACACAGGAAAGTGTGGTTTCTGGCTTCGAGAGACATCTTCAGCGTTAAAAAAAAAAAAAAAAGAAACTCAAAGGGTTATAGAATATCCAATCTTTCCACCCTGCGTCAACACTTCTGCCCTCACGATTTGATATTTTATTTGACACAACTCAAAGTTATTCTTCTCTTTGAATTTTTTCTTAATTTCACATCCTCCTGTGTTCCTTTCTATGTTCTCAGTATTGATAACATAGCTGTCAGTACCCCACAGTGACTCATTTTTCCTCCTACTTTTCTTTAATCAAATTTCTGTGAGCTCTTTGTGCATATAATGCATTGTGAAGCCTTTTGGCTTTCACTTGATGGGAATGCATCATTTGCTTATTAGGTTTTTTCCTACTCTTTTCCCATTAGCCCAAGACAATTAAAGTAATACTATTTGGTGCTACAGCAATCATAACCTGAAGGCAAATTCGAGACCTGACCTGAGATCCTGTGGCAGTATCCCATTTTTAGGAACATGTTTATATTACTTTTCTAGATGAATCAGAATATGTTTATATTATTTTTCTAAGTCACAGAAATATAAAACAAAAATTTTAAAGTTATCCTAAAGAATTCATGGACTCTTCTCTCCTCCCCCAGTGCATCTGCTAACCTTAATTTCAGACACATGGGTTTTCAGAACTGAGTTGAAGTGAGAGGTGAGGGGAAGGGAAAAAGCCTAGTATGACGACTTAACGGTGTCTGGTCTGGGCCACTGAGTGCATGGTGGTCCTATTCACTGACTTTAGGAATAAAAAGAAAGCATACATTCAGGAGAAACGATGAGGTCAGTTTTGTACAATCTCAATTGTGAGTTTCCTGCAGTAATTCTCTTTCTGGTCGAATGAGCTGGAGATATAAATTTGGAAGTCAACACTGTGAAAACAAGATAGCAGATGTGGTCATTGAGGGAGAATATGCAAACAGAGAAGATGGCTGAGGAAAACAGCCTTAGTGAACACAGTTCCTAGACAGTAGCAGTTTGGGGGGGGGGGTAGGTGGGGGTGGTAAGGAAGACAAAAGAGAGGCAAAATTTAAGAATAAAATGATTAGTTGTTCGTCAGTCAGATGGGAGGCTGAGCTAAAAGGATTGCTTGAGGCCAGAAGTTTGAGACCAGCCTGAGCAGCATAGTGAGACCTGTCTTTACAAAAAGTAAAAAAAGTTATTTGGGAGTGATGGTGGGCATCTGTAGTCCCAGCTTCTTGGATGGTAGAGGTGAGAGGATCCCTTGAACTCAGGAGTTCCAGGCTGCAATGAGCTATGATCAGGCCTCTGCCCTCGTCCAGCCTGGGCTACAGAGAGAGACCCTGTCTCTATTAAAAAAAAAAAAAATCAAGTAAGATAAGGACTGAAAACAGTTATGTTTGGTGATTAAGAGGTGAGACCATACTAAGTACAATTTCAGTGGAGTGCAGGGCCAAGTCTGATCACAGTGAGTCCAAGAGCAATGGGGGAAGTGAGGAAATGCAGTTATTAATTTGAGACTTTTGCTTTGTTGTGAAAAACAGCCAGATGGGACTGCAAAGATGGAGGACTTGAAAACTATGCAACAATGTTGACCATTGGTGGCATGGGCTGGGGAGGTAGCTTAAAAATAGAGATCCTTGGCTGCCGGTGGTGGCTCACGCCTGTAATCCTAGCACTCTAGGAGGCCAAGGTGGAGGATCACTCAAGGTCAGGCGTTCAAGACCAGCCTGAGCAAGAGTGAGACCCCCCCCCTACTGTAAATAGAAAGAAATTAGCGGAACAACTAAAAATATATAGAAAAAAATTAGCTGGGCATGGTGGCACATGCCTGTAGTCCCAGCTACTCTGGAGGCTAAGGCAGAAGGATTGCTTAAGCCCAGGAATTTGAGGTTGCTCTGAGCTAGGCTGACGACACTCTAGCCTGGGTAACAGACTGAGACTCTCTCAAGTTAATAAAAAAAAAGAAAGAAAGAAAGATCCTTGAGTGGCGTGATCAGATCAAGGGTCAAATAAAGCGAGATTTCTTCCAAGCTTGGAGAGGGGAGGTGGGTGGAGTTACAGACAGGAGGTGGGGAATTGAGGGAGTCCACGCTTCGCACCAAATGACCTGTTTTCTCTGTGGAATATGAGGCATGGTCCTCACCAGAGACACAGAAGGGCAGAGGTGGGGCAAATGACTTGGGAAGGGTGCTGAACGTTGGGAGAGAAAGCTGCCCAGGAAAAAATACTGAGAGGTGCTGAGTTTGTTTGACTATGAACTGAACGTGGCACCAAGCTCAGGGTTGTGGTGACTCTTCCTTCTAATTCTGCCCTGCAGCATGTAAGACCCAGAGAAGGCAGCCGAAGGTTGACTTCTGCTTAAATCTCTGTCCGCAAAGGCCCAGACGTGCGGACTTGAAGCCCTGTGGCCGCATCGTGTGTCAGTGCCCCCTAGGAATTTATGAAAAGCACGGAAGGATCAGCGTGCTTGCATTCTAAGACGTAACGTTCTGTACTTTCGGCATCCCCAGGGCTTCACCGAAGTCCAGTCATTTTTCTCAAGGAGGAGGCATAACCTGGAGATGAGATGAGGGACTCTGCATAACTTTCCTTCTCCCAGATCCTTCCCAAGGCAGCGCGGCGGCTGCCTCCGTCCAGGTGCTGGCTCCTGCAGGTGGAGGAGGGGGCCCCCGACTCGCGCTCCAGGCGGAAGCGCCACTGCCATTGGCCCAGCGGCGACATTTACCTGCACGGACCCGGGGCGCAAAGTCCGGGGCGCGGGGCTGGGGCGGAGGCGGTGGCTGGCGGCGGCCTAGGTGGGCCCGCGCTCTCGGCCAGGCAAGATGCCCCTGGGACTGCGGGGAAAGAAGAAGAAGTCCAAGGAGACCGCCCAGCTGGTGGAGGGCGAGCAGATGGGCGCGGGCGGCGGGAGCCTCCCCGGCCCCCCGGTTCCCGCGCGCAGGCTGGTCTTCCACACGCAGCTGGCGCACGGCAGCCCCACGGGCCGGGTGGAGGATTTCTCTAGCATCCAGGAGCTCTACGCCAGGATCGCCGGCGTGTATGGGATCTCGCCGTCGGAGGTAAGGGGCCGGGGGTGCAGCCTCTCCGCCCCGCTCCCCGTCTCTCCGACGCGCCGGCTTAAATTGGCCGAGGCTGGTCGAGCGGCGCGTCCCTGAGCCTGGGCGGATGCAGGGTAGGGTCCTCCGGGAGCGTCCCAGGGGCAGTGAGTGAGCCTTACTGGGAAGGGGAAAGGTGAGTACCAGGAGCAGAGAAAGCCACATCCTCGGAGATCTGGCCTTTGGGAAACTGCGGGCGAGGCAACCTTTCTTCCGCAGGCAAATGCATTTGCTCCAGACGTCTCAGGTTCAATGGTTCAGGGCGTGAGCAACTCCCCAGAGTCAAGATCTGGCCCGGCAAATACCCTCCACCTCTTCTGGACTTTACCCTTCTGTTTCCTCCGCAGGCGTGAGAGAGTCACGTTGGGCATCTTGGTAAATTAAGGAGGGGGGATTGAAGTGCAGTCCAGGTGATACCAAACCGAGGCCCACTTTGCCCCTCATCTGTCATTTCTAACATCAACACCCGGAAACCCTTTGGTGGTATTTCCAAGAAGTTTAAAAAGCTGGGCTGTTATTCCAAGAGTAGGTAACCTAGAGAATCATACTTAATCCCATGAGACTAATCATAATTTTGATGGGAGAGATCAGCTGTAACTTTTACATCATATGCTAAAAAGGGACTGAAGTTTCCCTTAATTAGATGGTGTGTGGGCCTGGAACTGGAGTTTGGTGCAGGCATGATCTTGAAAGCACTAGTTGATATGGACGTTTATGTGACTACTTTATTTGTGCTCACCCATGTGAACTGCAAGTGTTCGTGTGGGAAGTTAGCTCAAGAAATATTTTGTCCACATTTCTAGGAAAAGCACGTGATTTTGTTGCCCTGGACTCCCAGCAGTGCAGAGCGCTGCCCTGGAGTGTCGGAGCAGGGCATCTGGATGTCTGTTGTTTAGTTGTTTGTCAGATCTGTTCCAGGGAAATTGAGGTCAAGGCAAAATTCCAAGAGGAGATGAAAGAGAGCCAAAAGTATAACCCTTTTTTTTCAGGGTTCCCAGGCACCAAGAGAAAAACCACAAACCCATTTGTGACTTGTTTATATTGATATAGGATATAAATAACATTTTATATTTGTATGGGAATTTTCAGTTCAAAAAGCACTTTCGCAGGAATAATTTTTTAAAAATCTTCTCTAGGGGAGGTGGGTGGCAGGTTAAATACAATAAACTTGGGTGTGGAGCCAGATTCTACCATTTACTAGCTAGCCTTGTGGCCTTGAACAATTCTAACTTATTTCAGTTTTAGCCACCTACAAAATATTAGTAAAGATATCTTACCTTGAAGGGTATTGCGAATACTGGATGGAGTTCTTATGTAAACCTATCAGATTGAATGGTATATGGCCAGTGCTTGATAATTGTAACTAATACTATTAATACCTAACAGTTAAATGAGAGGCTGAGGTGCCAAGTGATTGCTTTGGCTAAGGTAATATAACTAGCAAGAAAAAAACTGGGTTGCTATTTACATTTGGATCTTCTGATGTCTAAGCTTGTGAGCCCATTAGCATACTTAACTGACAACTTTAAATGTCTCTCCTGCAACCAGGAACTCCAGTTTTAGTTACAGATGCTCTCCGATATGCTCAATTTAAGATTTTTCTATTAATACTTTACCGTGAATTTACTGGAGAATACTAATGATATTTTTGCCTAATGTATTTATTGGGATGTAGCCCCTTGGTAAGTCAAGGAGCATTTGCACTTTGCATTAACAGTTTTCCTCATCATTATATATGACATTATTCTGAGCTCAAGATACCTGATTTTATTCAATTCACTTAATCCTTAATAGGTAATATTATTACTATCTCTGCTTCACAGAGAGGAAACTGAGGCTTTGAAGTTCGGAACTTTTCAGAATTACACATAGCAAGTGGCAGAGCCTGGATTTGAACCCAGTATTTTTTTCCTGACTCCAAATTCCATGAAGCTATATTGCTTCCTAAGTTTTCCAGAGTCTCTCTGCAATAGCTGGGTAGCTGTGTTCAACATTTTCAGTGCACTGATTTGCAAGATAAAATTCCAAGATAATAAACACAAGCTGTTTTGATGTGTTATATCAAAGTTCACAAATAAATTTTCATAACCTCTATATATGTATATTAGCATCCTTTTGCATGTAACCAACATTAATGAAAGTTTTCCATCTGTATTAAAAAGAGTTAAGTATTTTTAGGAGAAAGTATTGGTCATGATAGTATAGTACATCATAAGCATCTCACTAGTTCACTTTGAAACAGAAGTAACTTATTAAAATCAAATGAATACCAGGGAGATTCTGTTTCTTATCTCATTCCCCCAGCAAGCAGTTTTCTCAATAATAATGGTGTAAGTAACTTTTGAGATGTTAGTGGGGACAAAACAAAAATGTCCCCCCTCTTCATAGGAGTGAATAGGTAAGTCCTACCCTTCTCTGGAGCTCTCTACTGAGGGGGAAAAAGGAAAGGGCTTGATGTCAGGTGGGGTAGACACAGACAAACTTACTGGGGACCCATAATGGGTCCACAACCGTGCTAGGCACGGAAGCCTACAAGGTAGTCATTCCATCTGCACCAGAATTTTTTCATTTTACAGTTGAGCTAAGTGAGACTCTGTAAAATTAAACAGGCTCATATGTGGTGGAGTCAGGACTTGAATTCAGTTTCCCTGGTTCCAAGTCTGTTACATAGCAGCTGAGAGATTCTTGGTAACTGCATTCAAATACCAAATGCAAACCCAGAAAAACTTCCTTTTTAAGCAGATTTTTTTTTTCAATTAAAGCCTCAGTCTCAACCAAAAAAATATTTATCGCTTCAAAAAGATGCTGTTGTAGATTTCATGGTCCTTGAAGAAAGAAGCTAATGAAGCCTATGAATCACTTAAGATTTGTTACCAAGTCTGGGCAGGGTGCAGTTTATTGTTATCATTAAGTTGAAACAGATGGCCAATTATACAAAAAGCCTTTATATCTGATGTCTTTTTTCAAAACAACTAAACGAGCAATTCAGTAAAAAGAAAAAAAGTACCTGTAAATTAATCTCATCTAAGGAACAGCTAACTCATAATGTTAATGCAGGATTGTTTTTTCAAAAAGTTTAATGCTATCTTTTAAAATGTTCAGGTTATATAAAAGCCCTTGAGATATAGTCCTAAATTTTGTTGAAGGGGCATTTTGAATATTTGACTACTGTAATTGTTTGGCAAGTAGTTTGTGCCGTGGCATGTTTTCATATTCTCTATTATGTGGAAAGATGGTAGGAAAAGATAATGAATGTGAAAACTTTTTAAGAAATAGATAAATCAGTTTGTAGTCAGAAGCTTTCCAGAACTGGAAACTCGGATTTAGTTTCTTTATAGAATTCCGTAATTATTTCTTTTGACATGGTTATGTTAGTATGTCCATGATATTAGATACCAAATAGTTCACTGACTGAATGAATCATTCACTAACTCATTTTCTTTTCTTTTTTTTTTTTGAGACAGAGTCTCGCTTTGTTGCCCAGTCTAGAGTGAGTGCCGTGGCATCAGCCTAGCTCACAGCAACCTCAAACTCCTGGGCTCAAGTGATCCTCCTGCCTCAGCCTCCCCAGTAGCTGGGACTACAGGCATGCACCACCATGCCCGGCTAATTTTTTCTATATATATTAGTTGGCCAATTAATTTATTTCTATTTATAGTAGAGACAGGATCTCACTCTTGCTCAGGCTGGTTTCCAACTCCTGACCTTGAGCAATCCGCCCGCCTCGGCCTCCCAGAGTGCTAGGATTACAGGTGTGAGCCACCACACCGGGCCTCATTTTCTTTGGATACATAATGCAGTTAAATAAAGCATCGTACTTGAGAAGCAGAGAAGATAAGAACTATGATTTTTAACTTCACACTCTATACCTAAAAGCATGCTATTATTTATCTTAAAACTAACAGACCAATCTTCTTGTGCCACCTGTTCCCATATCCTATGCTACCACCCCATTCATTTCTTCTTTATAGCAAAACTCCTCAAAAGTTGCTGTCTCCAATGAGATACAGTTTGTTTCTCATTCTCATCTCAAAACCCTCCATGGCTTCACATCTCACTTGGAACAAAAGCCAAAATCATATGATAGGCTGTAGCCCTGTTACCTCTCTAAAATCAGTTCCTTCTGCTCCAGCCAGTCTGGCCTCCTGGCTATGTCTTGAACCGCAGGAGCCTTAAGGCTTTTGCACTGGTTGTTGTTTCTGCCAGAACCTCTTCCTACAGGATGCTTTCCCGAAGTCTGCTAAGGTGTCATCTTCTTGGTGAGGCTGGCACTGATCATCCGGTCTAGAAGTATAGCACCTCCTCTTCCCTTCTCCGCTTAATTTTTTCCATAGCAGACTAACATCCTACATATACTTAAGTTATTTTATGGTCTTCCCACAATATGAGCTAGCAAGGCAAGCAAGGATTTCTGTCTTTTTTATTTACTGATGTAGCCCCAAGGGCCTGGACCGTATCTGAAACATAGATGGAGCTCAAAAAACAATTCCTTGGGCTGGCACGGTGGCTCACGCCTGTAATCCTAGCACTCTGGGAGGCCGAGGCGGGCGGATCGCTCGAGGTCAGGAGTTCGAAACCAGCCTGAGCAAGAGTGAGACCCCTGTCTCTATATAAATGAAAGAAATTAATTGGCCAACTAATTATATAGAAAAATAGCTGGCATGGTGGTGCATGCCTGTAGTCCCAGCTACTCGGAGGCTGAGGCAGAAGGATCACTTGAGCCCAGGAGATTGAGGTTGCGGTGAGCTAGGCTGAAGCCATGGTGCTCACTCAGACCTGGGCAACAAAGCAACACTCTGTCTCAAAAACACAACAAAACAAAAAAACCCCACAATTCCTTGAATAAGGAATCCTCACAAATTCACTACTTAAATCTGTATCTAGCTTTAGTACTGGTTAAAATACTGGTATGTAGGGGTTAATTTTTTGTACTATGAGGAAAGGACAGCTGTTGTATGGGGGGG